AACTATTATTGAGTTTTACTAGATAAAAGAAAGATATGATGTCCCCTTTACTCCCCCTTATTAAACATAAATATACAACAGTTTGTGTTAAAGAAAATCTCTGTGTAGTATGATGTATAAAGTTGTATGTGTATGTACGTAATTAATTTGTACCTTTAATTGTGTCTCTAACTCTGTGTGTGTAAAAACAACGTCTAACAGTGTATGCGTAATTTGTCTATAATTAAATATTAGAATTTATTGATCAATTGAAAACAGATAAATATTATTGACAAACTTTATAGAAGCAAATTACATATTTACAAGAATTTAGAAAGAAATCCAAACAAAGTCTTCTTCTTAAGAATTTATCTCTTGTTTTAAATGTCTTATAAGTTCATATCATTTAGAAAGAGAAAAATTAAAGAAAACAAATGGAAAATGTTTTAATATGAAGAATAAGGAAAACCAAAAAAGTTGTTTAAATTTTAACGCACATTATTTGCAAAAACGTTTAGTAAATATTTTGAACAAATTTCTCTGTTGGATTTAAATTTATTTTTGTGTTAAAGCTCTCGTTTTATTTTATGTGAAGTTTGATTTTTCATTATTTTGTCTTAAAGGACCTTAATTTTCACTGTTTTTATTATACAAAAATCTACATTTGATTTATTTCTATAGTTTTGTTTATAGTTTTGTTTTAATTAAGTATTAATAATTGCTAATTATAATTCCTATTAAGCTATTAAACTTTAAACAATACGATTATGTTTATCATAAGTTCTTTTTTACATAAATTTATAATTAAAGCAAAAAGGAAAAACAATGAATATTTATTTTTTCTTAAGATATTAATATTAATTATTATAAATAAGCCTTTGAAAACATAAAAAACGAGACACCAATTTTTTTTTTTTTAAATTTAATTTTACTAATTTAAGTTTTTCAACACCTACAATTTGCTATACATACATAAACACTTTAAAGCCCCCATCCCACCCGCTTTATTTTATAATTAAGCTATAAGTATAAAGTAAAATTTATAAATGATTTATAACCTTCTTATAATATATATAAATCATTTATTAAATTTAAACCACAAAACCTTAATAACGTTTAATTTAAATATAAACTAATAACTACAATTAAGTAAAATTTCATTCCCTTAAGTTATTTATAATGTTCTTAAGTTATAGTTAAACACCCATTTCCCATAAGTTCATTAATTTTTATATACCACATCTACACACCTTCATTTATTCATTTATTTAAATGTTAATATGTTATTTGCATTTTATTATTAATTTAAAAAATTAATTTTAATTGCATTTATATTACCACAAAAACCAACAAAACAAATTTCGTTTTATAAATATTATAACTTATATAAACATAAACTATCAATAACAAACCAACAAACAAAAAAAAACTATATATTTGTAATTTGATGTTAATATTTGTATACATATGTTTTGCAACAATTAATTAAATTAATTAACTCTATTATTATAATTATATTATACCAAAACCATTTAAACATTACAAAACATTAAGAAGAACTTGAAAAGGCAGTTGAAAACACAAAACAAACTGAATGTTATAAAAAAGAAGAAAAATAATAAAAAAAAATATATATTGTTGAAAACAAAACCTTAAATAAAACAAATATTAATATATTTAAATATCTATTAAAAATAAAGAAAATTACATAAAAACAACAGCAATTTAAGCAATAATCTTAAAAAAATAAAAAAAAAACAAAAAATAATCAAAAACATCACAAAAAAATATTGTTTTTATTTAAACTACTGATCCCAGGGAAAAGGTGAAAGTTCACAATTTATCTTTAAGATTATTGATTTGTGGGCGAACTTGACAACTTTGTAACTGGTTCTATAGAAGCATTATTTAGTCGCATTCGTTTGAAAAGTTTTTTGTGGGTCAAGTTAAACTCTACACCACTACAGTAGTCATACACCTAGCTTAAAGTTTAACAATCGGCTCAGAATCATTTTCAAGCTATTTCCATATTAATTTGATGAAATTTCACAAATGGAGCTTATGGAAAATAATTGAAATCCATTATTACAACTAGCTCAAACACATCATCTGATAAAATATTGAGACTTCTCCTCACACGCGTGTAAATAGTACTTCTCAAAGGACTACGAGTGGTCCAAAACTGATATAAATATATGGAAAAAAGCGTACTCCATTTAACAATGTGATGTCCTAATTGAGGACCACATTATCCATACATATATTACATCAGAGTGATCCCAAAAATACTCCCTATATAAAATTGTAGGAATACTTGAAACGCAACATAGTCCTGTGTAATGCAGGCAATGATGGACCATTGGTTCAAAAAGTAAACATCACATATGCATGCATTATATAGGACTACGTAACGGATCATGTACTCCATATATGTATATCTATCTATGTATCTATCTATCTATCTATCTATCTATCTATCTATCTATCTATCTATCTATCTATCTATCTATCTATCTATCTA